CCCCAAAACCCCAAAACCCCAAAACCCCAAAACCCCATTCTGAGAAATTTAATTTGAATTTTAGAAAAGTCCAAAGAATAATGAGTCATTCGACTCAGCGGCACTATCTTTGTCATTCTCTTCTTCTGCTAGATCATTGATTTTGTCAGTAACAGCATCAATATCCGTAGAGCTAGCATCCTCTGGTGAACTTTCTGTTGTTGTTGACTGTTCGACTTTGGTTTCAGAGGCAGGTGAGGCTTCAGTCTCTGTAGAAATAGAACTTTCAGCTTCTGTAGTAGAGGAAGTTTCTGCTTCTGAAACAATTGGTGCTTCCATTTCAGCTCTAGCTGAAGTCTCAGCAGTTGCTGTTTCTTCAGTTTCAGTAGGAGCTTCTATAGTTTCAGCATCCGAGGGAGAATCTTCAGCTGGGACAGCTTCGTCAGTGTTAGTGTCTTCAACAATTGGAGTTTCTTCAGAAGGAGCTTCTTCAGCAGGAGCTTCTTCAGCAGGAGCTTCTTCAGCAGGAGCTTCTTCAGCAGGAGCTTCTTTAACAGGAGTTTCTTCAACTGAAGCTTCTTCAGTATGAGCTTCTTCAGTATGAGCTTCTTCAGTAGGAGCTTCATCTGTAGCTTCCTGAGTAGCTGGAGCATCTTTATCAGTAGAGGTTTCTTCTGAAACAGTTTCAGGCTCTGAAGTTTCTTCAGTAGATTCTCCTTCACCAGATAAAAGTTTAGGAATAACATTAGCAATTCTAGACAATAATGATTCTCCTTCCTCACTGCTTTCTTCTGGAGCTGAGGCTGGTTCCTTAGTTGCTGTTTCTTCTGGGGATTCTTCTTCAGTAGTTGCTTCTTCTGCTGATGTTTCATCTGTAGGAGCCTCTTCAGTAGGGGAATCTTCAGTTGGGGCTGGAGCAGTTTCTTCAACATTTGGATTTCCTTTTATTTCAGGAGCAACTACAGTTTCTGCTTGAGTGGTAGCAGGAGTCTCTTCAGTCTTAGGGGCTTCTGGAACAACTTCCTTAGATGGGGAAGGGGGAGTAGGTTCTGCTGGTTTCTTTGGAACTACTTGTGGATGTGGAATTCTTTTTGGAGTAGTTCTCTTTGGAGGTGGAGTGAATCTTGATGGTCTTTGAGGGCCTTGAACTTTGCCTTGGAATGCAGCTGCGGATTCCGAAGAACCTGGAAAAACAGGGTTCAAAAGATCTTTCCATTCTTCAACTGTTTTTGGGGCTGGAACCTCCAGAGCATTAATAAAAACAGTTGGTGTTTGGCTAATACCATCATGAACACCTTGCTTCCACTGTACAACAGTGTCTTTAATGTATTCTTTATTTCTGAAAGCAATCATGCATTGACTAAACAATAGTTAGAATCATTACCTGTATGTAAAATTCAAGGCTTTGAGATCGGTTGAAGTCTCATTACAAATCTTCTGTTGCACTCCAAATTCAGAAAGTCTTTCAGCTTCACTAGCAAAATTCTTTTGATGATCAAGGATATATTCCGAGTAATCAAGGACATCTTCGGTTCTCCCATTCAAGTCATAAGTGAATGGAACAAGTTGGGAGACAAAGAATGAGTTGTGGTGGAATGGGAGTGGGAAGAAATGGAATACTACATAAACATATTTTGTAATATCCTCTCCAGCATCAGTTGTTGTTCCCAGGTATTCTAAGAATTCTTTGTGGAAGTTCGAGCAATCATTACTCAAAAGATCTTCATAAACATCAATTCTAACAAACTGGTCTGGATGAGGGATATATCCATACCCATCAGAGTAAGTCATCTGCCCAAGAGCAAGTGTCGCAACTAGGAGAATCAGAAGTAGTTTCATATCCACTCAGTCAAAAATAAATAAATGTATAAAACCAAAAGAACCATACGGGGTTTTGGGGTTTTGGGGTTTTGGGGTTTTGGGG